GGGGTTGCCCTCTCGGTGTGCCCCCCACATTCAGTCCGAGCCTGCCCCGTCTCCCTGCGCCTTTTCCCCGGCGTGTCCTGGGCTGCCCTAACCCGCTGTGTCCCCATGTGCGCGTGGCCCCGTACCCCGTGTCTCCCCACGCACCCCGGTGCCCGCCCTGGGCGCTTGGCCCCAGCTCTGCAGTTGCCCCATGTAGCTCAAGCTCTGGTGCAGCTCTGGGGCAAGGCTTGGTCCCAGGACACTGTCCCTGGGGCCGGGGGAGGCTCTGGCCGCCCCGCTGACCCCGCTGCTCTCCGCAGTGTCCCGCTTGCACTGCGAGAGCGAGTCCTTCAAGATGGACCTCATCCTGGACGTGAACATCCAGATCTACCCCGTGGACCTTGGTAAGCGGCTAGCCTGGAGGGCTGCGTTGGGGTGGGCTGGGTTGCAGCCCGCCTCGCTGGGGGATTCGTTTGGGTTCGGCTTTGTGTACCTGTTCTATGGGAAAACCGAAAGAACCGTATCTGATGCTGCTCTGACTGTGCCCTCTCCTGCCAGGTGACAAGTTCCGCCTGGTCATTGCCAGCACCTTGTATGAAGACGGCACCCTGGACGACGGGGAGTACAACCCCACGGACGACAGGCCGTCCAGGTACCGAGATCCGGGTAGCACAAGCTGCAGAGCTGGGGAGGCAGCGGAGAGGGCAGCGGCTGGATGCTGAGAGGCTGCTGGTACCTTCTCCCGAAGGAAGTTCCCAGTTTTGATGGTTCTGCGCAGTCACGTTGTCCCATTGCAGGGCAGACCAGTTTGAGTACGTGATGTACGGCAAGGTGTACCGCATCGAGGGCGACGAGACGTCCACCGAGGCAGCCACGCGCCTGTGAGTGTCCCCGGAGCGGGGCCGGGGGACGCGGCGGGCGCAGGGATCTCGGTGTCCCCGCTCTCACCGCTCCTTTTCTCCTGCCTCAGCTCTGCCTACGTGTCCTATGGGGGGCTGCTCATGCGGCTGCAGGGAGACGCGAACAATCTGCATGGGTTTGAGGTGGACTCCAGGGTTTACCTGCTGATGAAGAAGTTGGCCTTCTAGAAGAGGATGTCCTGTCTCCATGGGCTGCCTCAGAGACGTTTTGCTGGCAAGTGAACAGGATCCCCCTGATTCTTGCCCTGGCATCGGTGCTCCCTGGCCTCTGCGGTGCTGTTGGACAAGGGACAGTTCCTCTTTGTCTCTTGTGACACTTGCTGGGATTTGCAACCCCTTTCCACGTGGAGAGAGGTGCCTGGCAGCCAAGCAGGGGCCATGCTGGGTACTTTGCAGTCTTGCTCACTAGTAGTGTCTTCCCACCTTTATTTTTGTACTTGCAGATCAGGCTCAGCCCTGGTTGAGGGCAGCTGGCCTGGGACAGCCACCTGCCTTGGGGCCGGATCCTTATCCGAGGAGCCATCCCGAGATGGGCTGGGCTTGCTCCCAATTAAAGTTTGGGCTGTGTTTTCTATATCTGGCTCTGTTGCCTGTGAGGGGAGGCTGCCTGGGAGCCCTTACGCCTGGGTAGGGGCATGGCAGGCTTGGGTGCTGCATGGGACACGGGGGCCGTTCTGCGAGGGGGCAGCATGGGGGGCACACGGCACCCGCTGCACAGAGGACGGGGAACCAGCCCGGGCAGAGAGGTGCCGCGTGCCCCCAAACCTGCCCGGGCCCTTCCCTGTGACCTGCTGGGGCAGTCGCTAGAGGAGCTCAAGGGCTGCTCAGTGGGAGCTTGTCCCACGGGGCCCGTCTGCCCTGCGTGTGTCGCAGCTGCCATGGGAAGGACACCCCGGAGCACGTCCTCCAACCAAGCCCCGGAGAGGAAGGAGACACAAGCAGCTCTGTAGAAAAATAGCTATTTTACTGTAACGCCTTCACAGTAGAGCTGCCCTCGTGGGTGGGAGCGGGGCTGGTGCCCAGCTATTTGCTGCCACCCGGCCCGTGGAGGCTGGCAGCAAGGGCCTGTGGAATGGGAGTCAACCCTTTCCCTGTGGGCACCTTCCGGGGCGCCCAGGGCCCGCTTGCCAGGGCATGGTCCAAGCTCCGAGCTCGCTCTGCCCTCACATCAGCGGTAGGCTCGTGCGTCACCTCACTGGGCCTGGCGGGGGTCCCTGCCGCCCCCCTGGCCTTGCTCGCACGCGTCCTTGGCCAGGTCGTGGAAGAAGAAGCGCAGCTTTCCCTGCACCAGCTGCCGGTAGGTGAGGAAGATGCCAGCGAGCTGCGCGTGCTCCATGGAGCGCGGGGAGCAGCCGGGCTCCGGGGGCGCTTCCTGCGGCGGGGAGCAGAGGGG